GCACCCAGCTGGCTACCTTCTCCAAATAAAGGGTGGTAATATCAGTCAAAGCGTCTACACATGCCATACTTGATTGAGTGAAACCTAGCTGTAGAAGGTTTCTTGCAGTGGCAGCTTTTATCTGTAAATGGTCTATCAGAAGTACAGCACTTGGTAATCCCCAATCAACTAATGAAGGGGAAAGTACTGAAGCGAGCAGAACTTATTGAAGTTTTGTTATATTGTTGGTTTCTAACGAGATTGAAGTTTTGTTTATATTGTTGGTTTCTAACGAGCTTTGAGTTTGAGCACTACTTATAGTACGAAACACTGCACATACATTACAGCCAATCTAAAGGACACTTACAGATTTGCCGCTGCGTTTGCGTATGGAGAGTGCAGTCAGCGTACGTGACAAGAGAATCGTAATTCGCCGCGCTGATGGGCGTCGCGTGCGACGTCGCGCCCGCAAATGACGATGGTTCCAGGTCGTAGATGGCGACAACAGGCAATTTAGAACCGAAAATAGTCATAAATGTCCACAGTTTCGTAGCCCACGTGAAACCCAGTGCTCCAGTCGACAGGTTAACTGGAATTGAGAAAACGCCGCACCCACCGCTGTAAAAACGGCAAATTCCGATTCCCTTGCCCGTCTCTCGCCAATTAGGTGCGCATTCATACTTGGCAAAGAGGGCACGTCGAACCCTGGGGACGCTGAGCTAGACGATCATATGTTTTTAAGAAAAAATGTTCTGGGTTGTTGATTGCTCGAAATAGTTTTTTTTTCGACAAAGCTGGAGAATTTCCCCGTTCCGGAAGAAGGCAGGAAGTTGGGAAGAATTTATGAAGATTGGGGGGTAGGCAGGATGGAGAAGGTGGTCTATTTCGGCAAATATGCTCATCTCTTCTATTCTGCGGATACACAGATTTGCTAGCAGGACAAGCCCTGCTAGCAAATCTGTGTATCCGCGAATCGCATATAGTGTAGTTCGCTGCGGACGGTTGGGCGTGTCAGTGCGGCTGCGTTTGGCGCGGTGCCAAACTCGTTCTACACCAGTTGTTGAAGCGGGCAAGTGACAATACTGTATCATATCCTTCGTATTACTCGTCTTCTACCACTTTTTGTCGCAGACGCTCTTCAACAAGAAGGCAGAGAACGGCTTTGATAGGGTGACACACTCATACTGGCTGACACGCCCAACCGTCCGCAGAGAACTAGAGTGTAAATGTGCCACAAAGGTTAGGTGCTAATCGAGTGACACCGCGCACTAGCGGATTTGAGTGTCCGCGCATCTCCAAGAACGCGTGGGCGGAATCAGTCGATATCCATTTGGAGTTGCGTTCCTACTTTGCGTGCGTGCGTCCACAAGCGTCCAGCAGCGTTTGGAGTGTACGCCAGCGCCAGCGACTGGGAAAGCATAGATATCCCTCTAGCAAACGGCAACGTCTACCAGCGACTAAAAAGTATGGTTATTGATCAGCGAACGCCAGTGTCTTGACGGACTAGGGAAGTATAGTAGGTGTTGATCTAACGAACGCATGCGTCCACTAGCGTTTTCGCGGGCACTTTTTGAGCAAAACGCTGCTGTACGCTGGTCGACGCTGGCATTCGCTAGATCGACACCTATACTTCGCTAGTCCGTCGGTTGTCGCTGGTGGACGCAGACGCAAAGTATGAAAGTAGCCTAATCATTGGCCGAGCATTCTCTGATTTCGCGCATTCGCTCGCGGATATTGCTCATTAACGAGGTCTTACCATTAGTTATCTATGGAACACTCCAACGCTTCAGTAGAATGCTCCAAATTTTGAACACAACCGAGAATTGATATTGATCAGTATTTCTTCTCAGATTTTTTAGTGATTTGAGTGCAGATGATTTCCACAGAGTTAGGTATTTTTCTAGGAGTTCAGTTCGTTCTTTGATGACGACAGCAAGCTACTGTTTTCGTCTCGGAAATGAATGCTTTCGAATCCCAACGTAAACGATAATTGATATCGTCGGTATTTCTGCTCAGATTTTTTGGTGTGAAATGATTTCTTTAGGGCCAACGTGTACTTCGAGTAAGAGCCTGCGACTAGCTCAGCGAAAGATAACAAAGTCTGATAGCCTACTCAGTTTGACAAGCCTGCAATCTCGTCAAACTCGACTCTATGAGACAAAACTTGTCTATCAAGAAAGGATTACGGCTAAGAGCCATTAGGGTCTTTAAAGCCTGACCAGCGGTATCCGCCAACTTACCATGGAACTTTGAATGGAGACCTGGGTAGATCGATAGTCTATAAGGTTATTTACAAATAGATAGCAAAACTGCAACCTGCATTTCACAAGCAACTTATGAGCAGGTAAAGTTTGTAATGGTGCAGTAGGGTGGAGGCTTGGTGGTGAGCTGTGAAGCATAAGCGAGGAATCGCATACGTCGAATCGAGTCGTCGAACGTCGAACCTTACCACTGAACCACCACGACTCGATTCGACGTATGCGATTCCTCGCTTATGCTTCACAGCTCACCACCAAGCCTCCACCCTACTGCACCATTACAAACTTTACCTGCTCATAAGTTGCTTGTGAAATGCAGGTTGCAGTTTTGCTATCTATATTTGTAATAACCTTATAGACTCTATCGATCTACCCAGGCCTCCATTCAAAGTTCGTGGCAAGTTGGCGGACATCCCTGGTTAGACCTCAATGTTGACAAATCTTCTAGGCGTACCTGCATGTAGACATATTCAGTAGTTGCGTCCATCATAGTATCATTTCCACTAGAAGTAGCAATAAGAATTGAGCGCAGTCTATGCACTGAAGGGTCAACCTGAAATACATCACAAATAAAAACAAATGCCCGAGGGTAAATGCGCTTTTATAAACGCCGAAATGTTGACAGTGCATTGAAGTTCAGGGCGATCCGCTCGATGCGGTGCTCGCACATTTCAAAGCTTGCCTCCAGCGAAAGAGTGCATCCGCGAAAGGTTTCAATACGTATCGATCGACGGAATCGGCGGACCGAGCGTGCGTAGTCGGCGGACGCGCGAAAAGAGTTCCATACATATCGACTGGGAGAACCGGAACTAATATTCTTCACTTGGGCGCAGTAAAAGGAATATCTATTCCCTTTGATGGCGCCAAAGGTCGTCAGGGTCGTATAGATATTGCACGCACTAAAAGAGTATTTCTTAGCAACATTGTTGACTATACAGATACAGACACATGGATAATCGGCTGGGAGACGCAGAGTTAGTTGAGAGCTGACTCGATGCAGCACCGCTTCCGTTGACAGTATGTACGGACGGGTATGTGACAAGAGGATCGTAATTTGCCGCGCTGCTGGGCGTCGCGTGCGACGTCCCGCCCGCAAAGGACGATGGTTTCAGGCAGTAGATGGCGACAACATGCAATTAAGGACCGAAAACAGTAATGAGTGTCTACGATGACGGGGTCTACATGAAGTCCGGTGCTTCATTCGACAGGTTAAAACGAGTTATGAAAACGCCGCGCCCATCGCCGCGCGTGGCGGTGCGGCGAATTACGATCCTCTTTACCGTCTCCCCGTACGCACACCGTTTGCAACGCCTGTTTCTTCGCTCTTTCTGCTACTAGGAATAGCGCTCCACACCCGTTGTCACGCAGCATCGCAGGACTCAGAATCAAATGAGATAGTGAATAGGAACTTACTAGACACTATGGCTTCCCTGTGGAACTTTCTCTCGGTGATTCTGGTTGTCTGCGCTCTGAGCCTGAGCCTTTGAACCACACATTTTACAAATAGGAGTTTTGGAGAATCGTCAGTTCTCGGTTTTGGTGGGCTCGGTAAGTGATTATGCACCTACTCACTCAACGTTTTCGTCGATTTAGTACTGAGGGTCACGAGGGTGGTGCGACGAGGGCACATTACCA